CCTCATCAAATGTTACTTAGTAAAGACCTTAATGTCTGAAATCAAACCAGTTTATTCTGCCAGAATTAGAGAAAAGCATCAGCAATGAGAAGGAAGGACACAACGGAGATGATGTCTACAATTAATCTGTCACTAAAACAACTTGTTTAACAATAAAACAACAGCTTTTATTTCTAAAAAGAATTAAATGTACTTGCCTGTGAGGGATGTGATATTGATAAAGCTTTGTTTTAAGTTGAAAGAGTGACAGATGTAAGGAAAAATGGCAAAATCGGAGTGAAATAGTTTGGTCAGAGGTCATGTGACCCTAGCCTGTTCCGCCTTGTTTCTCTTCCTCAGAGCTCATTTCAATAAGCTGACACATCAGATCTCATTGCTGTAGGTTTGTTCTGTTAGTTTCATTAGTCCTGTGACTAACTCTACTGGGAACATAGAGGTCCTTCTCTATGTAATGGCTTTGAGCCGCTGCTCCATCCATCGTCGCCATTGTGTCCTTGGAAAGAATCAAGACACTTGAACCATTTCCCCTGCATTGGTGGTCTGAGAGCCCAGTGGGGCAGATTGTATGGCAGCTCTGCTCTGTCAGTGTGCCCCAGAGCAGCTGTGACTGCAATGTCTCTCCCCTCCATCATTGACTGAATATGGACTGAAGTGCTTCTGGCTCTGACCTGATAAAGCTCAATATCCACAGCTGAGAAACATCATCCAAAAGTACATTCAGTTTTTCAGTGGATGAATTAGCTGTCTCTCATTATCTTACTCCTGACCAAGCAGTGGTGAATTTTAACTATAATTTACAGCAATAATCATGATTCTGCCCTCTGTTGACTTTTTGGTTTTGTGTTTCTTTTTAGTTACACTTTTATTTCTGTCATTCTGTGTTTTCTTTTCTCTGTTCTTTGTGACCCCAACTGGGCTTAAGAAGATGGATGGATGGATGGTTGGACCTCGCCTCTCACCTGTAGACAGCTGGAGATAGACACCAGCACCCCTCGCTACCCCAGCAGGGATAATGGTGACGGAAATGGATGGATGGATTCAATTTTGTGTCATTCCAGTAGTTTTCTGGTTATGTTCCAGAGGTGTATTTTTTGGAGTTGCACTCTGTTGACCCTCGTCTGCCTGGCTGTGTGTTTCCTGGACGGGGCCGCCTGTGGAGCTGGTTGACAGTTGCCTTTTTTATCTATGCTTCTTTTTCTATGTCTGCTTCTGTCTCCTTGAACCCCAGTCAGCCTCAGCAGATGGCCGCTCACACTGAGCCTGGTTCTGCTGGAGGTTTCTTCCTGTTCAAAGGGAGTTTTTCCTCTCCACTGTTGCTACAAGCATGCTTAGTGTGAGGGATTGCTGAAGAGTCATTGAGTCAATGCAATCAGCTGGTTTTCCTTAGAAGACTGAATGATCTGGTGTTGTCTCTATAAAGTGCCTTGATTTTTGTGAATTGGCATTAGAGAAATAAACTGAATAGATGAGTGTAGCAGAAAACCTGCTGAGAGGAGCAGGAGTCTCATTAGTTACAGGAAATTCTTTGATTGCAGCAATTGCCTCTAAAGGTTGTGCAACAAAATATTACTAATTTTAGTTCAGGCTGGTTTATGAGTTTGTTGAATCATTCTATTAAAACATTTATTTATTACTTTTGTCGGATTCAAATTATTTCTCTGACAATGGTGGGTTTTTTTTCATAAAACTAAGATGAACGACAAATGTGTCCGTGTGTGTAAATACCTGAACTGCTCTTAATACACAATTGATTGAAACACAAATGTCAAAGCACTTTTTTTTTGACTAGACAAAAGAGTCACTCCCTTTTGTCTAATTTCGAAGCATTATTTTTTAATCATTAATGATTTTCTCCACTAGCTCTTAATCTTAATGCACTTTCCAATACTCTGGATCATTGTTTCCATCTGGTGCTTTCTTGGTGGTTTTCAGGTTTATATTCCTCTTCTCAGATTTTTTTAGATTTTTCAGGTTTGAAATTATCTCAAAACTACCTTTCATGGTATAATACCGATGGCGTAAATATCTATAGAATATGCAGTTGCTTAGGGGCCCCCGACCTCTTAGGGGCCCCATCACTGCGCAAATGTAGACTAGGACATCTGTTTGCTAATGTTATGGTGTATGTATCTTAAACCCACCTGACGCTGAAGTGACTGATCGGACCGTATTTATAACCCAACGCATGGCAGATTTCAACATGATGGTGAGCCGTTTAAATACGACACCAATAGCAAAGCAGACAGAGGTACTTTTAATTACTGTCTTAATAACTGTCTATAGTTCATTAGACGGTAAGAATACACTTACATAATATGTTTCAAGCCACAATAATAATCTTAAAAGAACAATGTTTTTGAGTATTTTATTTTTTTACACTATGGCTTGGAATTATGGGTAATCCAGAGCATAGATTAAAACCATAACTGTTACGTACAATGTGTTAGCGACAATGGATACCGAAAAAAGCTACTTAAGCTTCAAAGAACCAAAGAGGGAGAGATGGAGGTTGCTGCTACAGCAAGTACAGATTGTGACCAGGAGATGAATGGAGAGAGCGTGGGTGAGGAGGGGGGCTATGAAGCTGAGGGTCGCCCCATGGCTTGTTGTGCTAATATAATAAAGTATATCCATGCCTAGTGAAGGTGAATAATGATGAAGTGTGTATGTATGGGGCATGTTTCAGGTCCGTTGTCTACGGCGGCATTACGCCATTGTATAAGACTGCTTGCATAATGCACCTTGGGTGCATTATGCTGATTTAACTCCACCCCTTTAAAAATCCAGGGTCTATCTGGAAAGTGTGGACCCAGAAGAGTGAAAATATTTCAGGAAAAAAGTGTCTATACAGTCCCTGGAATGGAAAAGGGCGGGTTGCCATAAAAGGTAACACCACAGCAGAATAGAAGTCATGTGTCTTTGACAGGCAATAGTGAAATGTGATGATGTTGCAGTGATCCTTCAGAAAACAGGGAAGTGAGATCAGTCTGTCTCTAAATCACTGAACGGCACACAGAGAAGGTGAGGAAACTTCTGTCTCTAAGAATCTTAGATCTATAGTTAACCACCGACTTTATGTAGAAGCAGAGCTAATAAAGATACTAACAGTAATTTCCAGATGCTAATCCTGTGAGGGTCATCATGTTTTATTGCTCATTCACGATTGCAGTCTCTAATTGCTGACAAAAATGCCAGAACCTGTGGTGAGGCAGAGGTTCAATGACTGGACCGCCTTAACTTTTGTTACGGAAGGCAAAGATTTTTAGTTTGTATTTATGAAGTTGTGCTAGTTGTCCAAAACCGAACTGACTGAATGAATTAAGGTCCCACTGTCCTTTTTTTTTTTAAAGGACTACTTTATTTTTAAAGGAGAGACTTCTGAAGAATATGATTCATTTTTTTTCATCATACCGAAAATGAAAAGTAAACAGTTGTTAAACCAACGCCGTATATCATTCTCACATCATTATATATGTGAGAATATATACATATATATACACACCTTATATAATTACCATGTCAAAATCCTTTGCCATCTTTACCAGAGACAGGCTGCAGCCATGTCCCGAATTCCTCGTTTTTTAGCCACTTTTGTTGAAATTAGCATTTTCCCATTCTCTAGCTTTTTCTCCGCCTTGAGCTTCTTTTGCGAACATACGTCTTTACGATCGACCAGAAGCAGTTACGCACAAACACGCGGAGCCAGATATATTGGATATACTTTGTCCAACGAAGATGCTTTCATAAACTTTTCTTTTTCTATTTTAAATAAAGCATTTTAAATGCCACTATTATCAGATTTAATGAATTTTAATGCTAAATTAAAAAAAAAAAAAATTACTGAATGACTTAATTATTTTTAATGACCCATGGAAACCTTGTACTTGTAGAAAATGAACGGTTGTTATTGATACGAATTAAAAAGTAGGGTAGCGTAATATGGCTAACTGACCGAGCTAAAAGAGGCTAACCTGTTAGCTACTGAGCACAGCTAGTCAGTGCTACCCAGCTCTTTATATCATGGTCTAACAGTTACTTTGCTCACCAGAAACAGATTTTTTCTGTTTTGTTATCGATCAGGTAAGACTTCATCAGTCATTAGACACGCTAACGCTATAGATACTCCCGGCGCATTGATGCTTCCTCATTATTGTCTGGGCAACCACAATGTTTTACATCATGTGGAAACATTCAGCTAATCATGTTGTGTGACGTCACTGGCATGAAGCAGGAACCAGCAGATCTGTTTCCTACAGCGTCTCTCCTCAGCAGCCTCTTACTTCATTAAACCAACTAGCGTCTTCCTGCCAGCCTCCCTGATGCCAAGCAGATCCCTCCGCTGAGCTGCCCTCTTCAAGCTGCTGGTTGACAAATTCAGTTTAACAGCAATTCATGCAGACATTTTTCGTATGATTTCACTTATTTATTGAATGTGGCTCAGAAGCATATCATTGAAATATTAGCTTCACTGCCATGTTGTGGCTCTTTGTAGAGTCTAGCCTGATTTAAACTTCATGGTGACTCGGTGGTTTTCTGATCCCTCGTTTAAAAGGAAGCACCTGCATACATTAAGAAAACACGGACCACTGTAGCTGATCCTTGACTTGCTTCCTCTGCTGGTTAGCTGTGTCTAGATGATAGAGAGCCTTTTCATGTGTAGCTTCTCATTGGTGGAAGGAGCAGCAGCACACCGTCCATCTTCCACAAAGCCTTTAAGGCCTAGCTCTTCCAACCCGTCTCCTGAACTAGCTCTGATTGTTAGCTTACATGTTCCATGCATTATATCCTTCTCTCTACGTCACTTTGGAGAAACTGATCAGATTTGATCGGGAACCAAACAGAACAGTCTTACTCTAGATAGGGAGTAGTGCAGCTCCTCTAATCCTTGGGTTGTGATTAAAAACTCCTGGTCATCAGACCTTTGGTTTCTGTTCTGCATTCTGTGGATTGATCTGAAAGTCTGTCTAATGCAAATCTCCCGTCTCTTTGTGAAGGTGGTCATAATGGGGGAGTGGTCCTTCCTCTCAGACATGCTGGACAAGGTACAGTCCCACTCCACGGTGTTCGGAAAGGTGTGGATGAGTGTTCTGTTCCTCTTCCGGATCTTCATCCTGGCTGCTGGAGTGGACAGAATCTGGGGAGATGAACAAGCAAACATGGACTGCAACACCAGAAGCACCGGATGCAGGAACTCCTGCTACAACCGATCCTTTCCTCTTTCCCACACCCGCTTCTGGGTGCTGCAGATCCTCACCGTCTCCACCCCGACCCTGGTGTACCTGGGCCACGTCCTGCTGGTCATTCGAAAAGAAAACAAAGCCAGGAGACGTCCAAAGCATAGAAACACGATGAAGAGAAGTGCTTTAGATGGACGAGGCAAAGTCCAACTGAGGGGAGTCTTATTGGCCAGCTACATCATGCAGCTGGTGTTCAAGATGCTGCTTGAAGTGTCATTCATTGTGGGCCAGTACTTCCTCTACGGCTTCCTGTTCATCCCTGCAAAGATCTTATGTGAGGACTACCCCTGCCCAACCCCTGTACAATGCTTCATCAGCCGACACACAGAGAAAACTGTTTTTGTAGTCTTCATGCTGGCATTGGCTGTTTTCTCTGTCCTTCTAAACATCGTGGAGTTGTTGTACCTGATGGTGTCCAAGCTGAAGGACAGGGGGGGCAGCAGCAGGGCTTCTCTTCCACCCACTCATTAAATATACTCCGAAAACTCAAAGCATCTTCCATGCTGCTCCATGAGATGTGAAGGACTCAGACTGGGTCAGAACCAGGGCATCTGCCCTCCCTTTGCTCTGGGTGTGAACTGGGAGCTCAGGGACATGAATCTGATCACTGGGAAAACATTGATTAATCTCACCAATAAACATCATGGATATTAACCTTTATGAGTTCCTCTCTGGTTATTTGGACTTAAGTCCAGAAATGGTCTGTATTGTGGGAATAATCCTCCCATTAATTGCAGCAGACCAGCAGTGACGTCTAGAACAGGAATAGGTGCAGTCTCTCTCTCTGGTTCTACATGGTTCCCTTAAGACCGTATTTGTCTGTTGGCCTTAAAGGCTTCAAGAGAAACAAACTAGTTTTTTATGGTCACCTTCATAAATATGGTGACCAAATGTCCAGATGCCCCTTCAGGTCAGAGGTTGGACCTCTATTATGGATGGATCATGTTTGGATCAGTCAGTCAGGCTTTGCTAGCTGATCAGAGGTCTGTCTGTCCTGGCACGGAGCCGATGGGACAGACTCTATGCCATAAGCAAATAGAAAGATGAACCGTTTGTTGATCTTGGCGAGTCTTTAGAAGCAGAAGTTCCTTCTGTGGTGGGCGATCCATGGTCTTAGGCTCTGGGGGTCTTTGAAACCTCCTGATCCCAGTCGGTGTCCAGCACATCATTGGGGAAGTCGGCTGGAGTGAATGAGGAGAACCCTGAGCCAGCCTGCTTGGATCCAGGACTCAGATGGAAGCACATCCTCTTCCTCAGACCCCCCCCACCATGGTCTGCTGGTCTCCGGTGTTGCTGGGCATCAGCGGTAGGTTGGTGGGGCTGCTGCAGTTTGCCGTTTGCTGTTTCCTGAGGAGGTTGTTGTGACTGGAGGTTCTGGCCTGGTTCCTGCCCCTCCCTCCTCCTCTTAGCCGGCGGAAGCTGGCTGCCTCGCTCATCATGGCCGCCTGTCTTCTCCACCCTACTGATGCTGTGCTCTGATGGCTTCTTCTCCCTGGGTTTGAAACAGAAGGCTGACAGCTTAGCCCGTAGGTCTGATGGTGTTCCAGCCTCAGCATCCTTCTGTTGCCTCATCCCTGGAGTCTCCTTCTCCACCTCCTCCTCTGTCTCAGGCATCTGTCCCTGTTCATTTTGCTCCAGGACTCCTGCAGATGGTTTTGAACAGCCCCTCGTAGCTGCATCATCCCCGGTTTGTTGAGTTGATGTAAACATGGGCGGTGTTACATCATGTGGGGACGGTGAGGGGCTGCTGGCCTGCAGATGGTCCAGACCATCCACTGGTTCCTCACAGCATTGGAGGGCATGTTGGTTTGAAGTGAGTGATGGATCACAGTTCGCCGTCTCTGGGTTGTTGCTTCTTAGCCTAGCAAAGAAGAACAGCATGCACTGTTATCCATGTGACAGCCTATCGGCAATCAGCTGTTCTACTGACGCCATTTTAAGAGCAATCCTAGAACTTCCAAAGCCTTGTTTTGGCTTAGAAAACAAACTGAACCGGAAGAACAGGTCCGCTCCTTAGGACTGGCAGCCCTTTGGGTTTTTCTGTTAGCCTGCAATGTCTGATACTGGTCTATGCCTCTGAAAGGACAGTTGTTAGGGGCATTGCTGGCCTGGCTGACCGTGCCCTAAAGCATGTTTTCTAAGGGCTGTGAATCTTTGGGATTCCCACATTCTTGGGGTCAAAATTTCTTTTAAATCCAAACAATTCGATTCAGAACTGATCAATTTACGATTCAAAACGATTCTCAGCATCTATTCCAGTTCTCTGGCATGAAAGAAGAGTACATTTATAAAGACTTTATAATTGTAAATATTTTATTTACCTATTGCAATAATGTAAACACCGAAAGGTAAATCCAAGACAACATGTCTTGCATGAGTCATGTCAAGCCCTTTCTTACGCTTTCTCACGCTGCTCATTGGTTTCGCCAAACACTACGGTGCTCCGCACCCACAAAAAAAAATCATTTTTAAAGAAAATGAGAATCAATTCTGAATCTTAAAATGTTAGAAACGTGATTTGAGCTCAAATCGATTTTTTTCTTCACCCCTAATATATATATATATATCTGTGAAGCGCCTCAGATATAAAAATGCTGGAGATGCCCTGAAGGACCTCTTGATACACGTCAACCATAGACTTTAAAATAAAAGGGGCTGCTTCTGCTGCTCAGATCGTGTTTGGTGTGAACATAGCAGAGGTAGGAAAAGCAGTGCCGCCATCAAGGAGGGGCTAACAGTGGAGCAGCTTTTCCTCCACTTCCGGAGGACTGGAGTAGAGTCGAGCGAAGTGCTCTGTTAGGAACATCAGGAACAATCAGATCTCTGATATCAGATGGAGCTTGGCCATTTAAGGCTTTATATGTGAGAAGGAGGATTTTAAATTCTATTCTGGATTTAACAGGAAGCCAATGAAGAGAAGTAACCAAACACCTTAGATCCAAACACACAAAGATCTTATATAAAGATT